AATGGAAGCCCCTTTGAGTTGCTGTATGTTCTTTAGAGATATTTCCACTGTGTTTTGAGCATTTCTATAGTTTCTGGTACAGTAGGATTTTCCAGACTTTCGTTGTCCTTTACATGCCTTAGCCCCGGAATCAGTCTTGTATCCAATAAACCCTAGTTCCTTTTATTGGAGAATGATATGTAGAAATCAAGATTTGAGAGCTCATTGTTATTGGAGTGTTACTGCTGCCAAGGCCTCTCAGTGGGTAGATCTGAGGAATTGTCTGGCTACACATATACGCATACACACATTGCATACATACCGTGAATATACACCAATACCTCCGATTCCAATCCAGCACTACTGGTCATTTCCTTCCTCTCCGTAGTTGTACACTTTTTTCTGACATGAGGAACTTGGCTCCCATTGTCATCCTGTGGATGTGGTCAGCCTCCCATTGCTGCTGTCGCAGTTGCCTGGATGTCATTTTCTCCCCAGCAAGGCCCAGTATCCTGCCGTGAGCCACCGTGGGTATCTCCTTCCCCACCTAGAATTCTTATATGTTTTGACATGATGCCCTCATTTTGAAATAATTTCAGAGTTACAGAAAATTTGCCAAACAGAATAAAGATGTTCCTTATTCCTTTCATCCAGATTTCTCAAATGATAAAGCTGTTTCATACATGTCATTTTCTTTCATGTGTGAACATGTTTTCTCTCTCATTCTCTTAAGCCGACTCTGTGTGTGTGTGTGTGTGTGTGTGTGTGTGTGTGTGTGTGTGTGTATACACACATATTGTTTTTTGAACCATTTGGAGGTGACTTTTTTTTTTTTTGAGACGGAGTCTCACTCTATTGCCAGGCTGGAGTGCAGTGGCACAATCTTGGCTCACTGCAACCTCCGCCTCCTGGGTTCAAGCAATTCTCTTGCCTCAGCCTCCCGAGTAGCTGGAATTACAGGCACCTGTCACCATGCCCAGTTAATTTTATATTTTTAGTAGAGATGGGATTTCTCCATATTGGTCAGGCTGGTCTCGAACTACTGACCTAGTGATCTGCCCTCCTTGGCCTCCCAAAGTGCTGGCATTACAGGCGTGAGCCATCGTGCCCTGCCTTAGAACTGACTTGTGAATACAATTCCCCTTTATCCATAAATACGTATTTCCCGAAAACAAGGGTATTCTCTTATATAACCACAGTGCAGTTATCAAAATCATGAAATTAATCTTGATACAGTGTTATATAATCTATAGGCCTTATTCAGATTTCCTCATTTATCTCATTACATATTTTTTTTTTTTTTTTTGGGAATGTTTGGAGGTTTTGCCCCGTGCCCCCGTGCAGTGGTGCAGTGTTTCACCGTGTTGTCCAGGCTGTTCTCGAACTGCTGACCTCAAGTGATCTGCCTACCATGGTTTCCTAAAATGCTTGGATTATAGGCATGAATTTTATGCTGGCCTTCACTATATTCTTCCTTTTTGTCGTTTGAGACAGTGTCTTACTCTGTTGCCCAGACTGGAGTGCAGTGGTTTGATCTTGGCTCACTGCAACCTCCGCCTCCTGGGCTCAAGCGATTGAGCCTTCCTAGTAGCTGGGTTAATGGAGAGTTGCGGAGGTGGCCTGTGACTTCACTTTTCCTCCCTAGCCTAGAACCATTTGAGAAGGATGAAGTTAGATGAAAAGTCAGAGGATTATGAGGTTTGCTGTTGTTAAAGCTGAGATTGGAGAACGTGGTCATCTGCTCCTTTCCTTCCAGTCTGGCCCTTGATGCCTGTATTAGTTTCCTAGGGCTACTCTTAACAAATTTCCACAAACTGGGATGGTTTAAAACAAGAGAAGTCTATTCTCTCACAGTTCTGGAGGCCAAAGGCCAAAATCAAGGTGTTAGCAGGACGATGTTCTCTCTGAAGGATTTAGAGAGGAATCTCTTTGGTGCCTTTCTTGTAGCTTCTTGTGTTTTCCGGAGTCCTGGGCATTCCTTGGCTTGCAGCTGCATCACTTCAGTCCCTGCCTCCATCTTCACATGGTGTTCTTCCTAAAAGGACCCCAGTCATAGTGGATCATGGCTGACCCTAATCAAATATGACCTCGTATTAATTTGATAACATTTACAAAGACTTTATTTCCAAATAAGGCCATATTCACAGGTTTTGGGGGTTAGGTTTCAGCATGTCTTTTGGGGGGACACAAGTCAACCCCTAACAATGCCCAACCAAGGCAGTGGTGCAGAGCAGAAGCTTGCTTGGCTCTTGTGAGCCTACATTCAGTGTGCTGAATGTTGGAACTGAAAGTCTAGATTCTATCACCTCAAGTGGAGCCCTGGTTCCTCCTCTTTCTAGCTAGAGGCATAGTCGGTTGTGAGTGCCTGGGTTCCTGTGGAAGGGCTGTGCTTTAAAGTAGATACTGAAGTGTTCTCTTCAGAGGCAGTTAGCAATGCACATCAGTTCTGTTGCAGGCTTTGTTGAAAAAACTAATACATGATGAGAGCTGTCAGTTTTTACTCTTCCCACAGAAGTTGTTTAAATAAGAGAATACAAGTCAGAAACACAGGTGTACACAGGGAAGGCAACGTCAGATAGAGCAGTACATTGGGCTGGAAAGCATCAGCCTTGGTTTTTTTTTATTAACAAAGATATATTCTCATACAAGGAGAGTAGATGTTTATTCTTTATCATAATGTAAAAATTTTCAGAAACAAACATGGGTATGTAAGTATGAATTAGTGCTGGACTTTACTCAATGGAAAGGTCTTTAGCTTAGGGTACTTGCTACAAGTATCATTTTTCCTCTAGGTGATCTCAGAAACATTGAAGACCAGCTCTGTAGAAGCCAGAGAGTGTTGTTTACTTTGGGGACTCAGTGAAAAGAAGGGTAGCATTTAAAAAAACGATTACTGGCCAGGTCCAGTTTTGGGAGGCTGAGGCGGGCAGATCATGAGGTCAGGAGTTCGAGACCAGCCTGGCCAACATGGCGAAACCCTGTCTCTACTAAAAATACAAAAATCAGCCAGGCATAGTGGCATATGCCTGTAGTCCCAGCTACTTGGGATGCTGAGGCAGGAGAATTTCTTGAACCCAGGAGGTGGAGGTTGTGGTGAGCCAAGATTGCGCCCCAGCCTGGTTGACAGAGCAAGACTCTGTCTCAAAAAAAAAAAAAAAAAAGGTTACTTTCTCACCTTCAGCTAAAAATCATAGCGGTATTTGTTGTAAGGTATACCTATCTTTCTATGACTAAGAAACATTACTGGGGGAACATTTTAAACTTCTATTTCTTCTTGGTTCAGAGAAATAAAGGTAAAAGAAAAAGAAGAGGGACCTGGGGTATTTAATTGTAGCATGATTAAATTTAGTAATGATAAATTTGGACTAGGAAGAACTCAAAGAACAGAAAATTTATTAATATGAATACCTTTTAAACCTAATGAATGTAAGTAGGCATTCCCCCCCAAAAAGAAATGAAAATGGCATCTGAGTCACGGCATCCCCCGAAACAAAAGAAAAGAAAATGGCTTTGTGTGTTCAAAACTGATCACTGTCACTAAGAATCAAATAAATGAAACTTAACCAGAGTTTTTTGTCTATCATATTGGCAAAGATCTGGGTGGTGTAAAGTTAACTTTTTAGATTATTTAACATATTTAAAATTTTATGATTAACATATATTAACTTCAAAGATTGAAAAACGTCCAAAACCTAAACCACCTAGGTCTTTAATCTATATATGTGATTTGTAGGTAGAAATAATTTTGTGTAACTAAGGGAGTAGTGATGCTAGAAAGTGGTGGAGTGTATTTCCTGTAACAGTTAGCAAACTAGGTCAAGGGCTAATTTGCTGCATGTCTTAACAATCTCTGTGCCTCGATTTCTTCTCAGAGCCATTTTTTGTTTATTTTTTGAAATGTAGTCTTGCTCTGTCACCCAGGCTGGAGTGCAGTGACATGATCTTGGCCCACTGCAGGACCCTCCACCTCCTGGGTTCAGGCGATTTTCCTGCCTCAGCCTCCCTAGTGGCTCGGATTACAGGTGTGCGCAACCACGCCTGGCTAATTTTTGTATTTTTAGTAGAGACAGGGTTTCGCCATGTTGGCCAGGCTGGTTTCGAATCTGCCTGCCTCAGTCTCCCAAAGTGCTGGGATTACAGATATGAGCCACTGCTCCCGGTCTTAAGCACCATCTTAGCTTGCCTGGGTTAGTGTAAATTGCCTCCTTGTTAACTTCCCTGCTTCTAGCTGTGTCCTTTTTGACACAAAAGCCAGAATGTGACTTTTAAGTGTATGAGCCAGCTCACTTCTCTGCCTCAGATGGTCCAGAAGAGTTGTCTTAGAGACAGCCATTATCTCCTTAAAAGGAAATGGGTGTTTTAGTACCAAGAACTGGATACATAAGAAGGAGAGGAACCCGGGGATCACTTCCCATTTCATGCAGAGTAAATGCCAAACTCCTTTTCTCCCTAGCTGCATCTCTCACCATTCTCCTCCTTGCTTACTGTGTTCCAGCCACATGCATCTCTCTGCTGTTCCTTGAAGACTCTGAGCGTCTCCTTCCTTGCTACCTCAACCTAAAATGCTCTTACCAGGTATCTGTATGATTAATTCCCTCCCTCAGGCCTCAGCTCCTCTGAAGTGCCTTCCGTTGCCTGCCTTACATTAAATAGCCACTGTTCTCCTTTGCACTCTATCCCCTTACCCTTGATTCTTCTTCATAGCATGTACTATTTATTGTCTGTTTCATACAGCTAGTGTCAGGACTTTGTTCTCTGGTGAATGGCTGCCCAGCAGTTAGGCATTCAATAACTATATGTTGAATGACTCAATGGATTCCCATTTTCTTTCTTAGGGGCTTCTTCTTCTGCCTAGAGAAATGGTCTTCAGGCCACCCTTGTTCTTTAGCCTGTGGAAAATGAACACTGTGTTCTGTGTACCAAATGTTTCTACAAAGGTGATCTGTGGGGTTCTTCCCTTTTCTCACTGCTCAGATTTTTCTGCGCATTATTCTTTACCAGTCATGCAGGTGAATCTGTTTTCTGGGTAACTTTTTCTGTTTGGGACTAATGCTTTCCTTTTCCTGAATTCGGTATCATTATGTAAATATGTTAACAATTTGGCACTTATTCCTTCATTCAGCTGGCAAATAATTATTGCAGCAGATACTGTGAGCCAGACTGGGGTGCCAGACTGTACGCTAGGGCTTAAAGAGGTGGTGAACCAGCATTTCCCTGGAGGAGCTGATGGCTCAGTGGGTGGTTGGAAGTGCCAACAGTTGGGACAGGCAACTGCTATAATGAGGAACACAGAGAGGAAGTTGGGAACACAGGGATGGGTTAGGCAGACCTGTTTCATATGGTTAGGATTCTCAAGGGTAGGAAAGAGTTTGTCAGGTGAGGAAGCAGGCAGAGGCTGCTCTGAGAGGAAGGAACAACGTGCAAAAACGCAGAAAACTTTGCTTGTTTACAGAAGCACAAGTCAGTGACTATTGTTGGAGCATGAAGTACAGTGCAGACAGTGATGGTGGACAAGGCCACAATAGTTAGATGAGGGCCAGACCCAGACGCTTTTGTTGTTGTTGTTGTTGTTGAAACAGGGTCCCACTCTATCACCTAGGCTAGAGTGGGCTTGCAGTGGCACAATCTTGGCTCACTGCAACCTCTGCCCCCAGGGTGGTAAAGTGATCCTCCTGCTTCAGACTCCTGAGTAGCTGGGACTACAGGTGCCTACCACCATGCCTGGCTAATTTCTGTATTTTTGATGAGATTTCACTATGTTGTTCAGCCTGGTCTCCAACTCCTGGACTGAGGTGATCTGCCCACCTCGACCTCCCAAAGTGCTGGGATTACAGGTGTTAGCCACTGCACCCAGCCCAGATCCAGACACTTCTAAAAGACTTTGTGTTTACTATACAGAGTGAGGCTTCTATCCTGTAGCCCATGGATTTGGGAGTGTGTTCCTGAGAACAAGTGAACAGAGGTGGGTAGGGAGGTAGCCTGAAGGATTTTTCCTATTGCAAGCTCCCTTCCTGAGTCAGGGAGAATCCAGAATATTTTCTACCATGTGGTAATTTGGTGTGGATTATTTTTTCCTTTGGATTGTAATTTCCTAAAGGATGGCGAGGTTTAATTTTTATGTATCTCCTAGCACCTCACGTGTACATTGTGAGATAGATGCTGGTTCTAGGCTGGGTGCAGTGGCTCACATCTATAGTCTCAGCACTTTGGGAAGCTGAGGCAGGTGGATTGCATGAGGTCAGGAGTTCAAGATCAGCCTGGACAACATGGCAAAACGTCTCCACTAAAAATACAAAAATTAGCGGGGCATGGTGGTGCACACCTGTAATCCTAGCTACTTGGGAGGCTGTGGCAGTAGAATCACTTGAACCCAGGAGGCAGAGGTTGCAGTGAGCCAAGACTGTGCCAGTGCACTCCAGCCTGGGTGACAGAGAGACTTCATCTCAAAACTAAAACAAAAGTTTAATTTTGGAGTACAGTGACATGATCTCGGCTCACTGCAACCTCCACCTCCTAGGTTCAATTGATTCTCCTGCGTTAGCCTCCCCAGTAGCTGGGATTAAAGGTGCCTGCTACCGTACCTGGCTAATTTTTGTAGTTTTAGTGGAGACAGGGTTTTGCCATGTTGGCAAGGCTGGTCTCAAACTCCTGATCTTAGGTCATCTGCCTGCCTTGGCCTCCCAAAATGCTGGGATTATAGGTGTGAGCCATTGCACCCAGCTAAACTTTGTTTAAACGAATGACGATTACATCACTATATGTATCACTGCTGTGCTTTAACTCCCTTTTTTTTTTTTTTTTGAAATGGAGTTTCACTCTTGTTGCCTGGGCTGGAATGCAATGGCATGATCTTGGTTCACTGCAACCTCTGCCTCCAAGGCTCAAGCAATTCTCCTGCCTCAGCCTCCCAAGTAGCTGGGATTACAGCCATGCACCACCATGCCTAATTTTGTAATTTTAGTAGAGATGGAGTTTCTCCAAGGTGGTCAGGCTGGTCTTGAACTCCCAACCTCAGGTGATCCACATGCCTTGGCCTCTCAAAGTGCTCGGATTACAGGCATGAGCCACTGTGCCTGGCTGTTTTAACTTCTTAGTATCCCATAATGTTTCTTCTGTTTATCTGCCCCATTCCTCATTTCCCAGTTTTTCTGTTAGGCAGATTAAATTCATTAAAAAAAAAAAAAGGGAAACCTTGTTGCAGGAGAATTTGTTGTTTGTGCTGTCAGATACAAGGTCCTAATGGATTTAGAAGAAGGTTGGATGGGACTCCTTCCTGAGGCAGCCACTTCAGTGCTTCTTACTCACCTTTGCATTCTCTGTGCCTGTCGCATGTTAGAGGCTCAATAAATGTTTGCTGAAGGAATCATCCTGTTTATTGACAGCAAGATTAACCCTGTGTTTTCATAGATAGCAAAACCTGCCCACTCTTATCCTTTGATAGCCTATATTCTTTGCTTTGTATGCTCCAGACACATTATTAAACTCCTCTCCATTCAGGCAGTACTTGTAGATATTTCCACTGCCCAGACTGCCCTTTCTTTTGTCTGGCCAACACCTATACCTTCTTATAAGATTTAACTTTCCTTCTTTCTGGGAAAATGAATTCTCATAAACCCAGTTGGAGTTAGTTACTTCTTCCTGTGTACAAACATTTTTTTTTTTTTTGAGGCATAATCTCACTCCATCACCCAGGCTGGAGTGCAGTGGTGTGATCTGGGCTCACTGCAACCTCCACCTCCCAGGTTCAAGTGATTCTCTTTTCTCAGTCTCCCTAGTAACTGTGCCACCATGCCTGGTTAATTTTTTGTATTTTTGTAGAGATGGGGTTTCACCATGTTGCCCCAGGCTGGTCTTTAACTCCTAGCCTTATATGATCTGCCTGGTTCTGAAGTGCTGGGATTAACAAGCATGAGCCACCGCTTCCAGCTCCTGTGTGCATTTTTTTTTGGGTTATTTATTTTGTGCATCTCTGGCAATAAATGAGATCTCAGTGGTAGTATGGATTTGACTGATCTCTGCAACTGTGTATGGCAAGAAAGACTGGAAAATGAAAACCAGATCCCAGTAAGGGGTAGGGAGGGCCAAGAGAACTGAACATCTGGACTGGTAGAGAAATCAAAGCCTAGGAAGTAAGAGGTAAGAGTGTAGTATAGGGGATACCCTATCTCTTTGCTCCTTCCTTTTCCCCCCAGGTCCCTGGGACTATATTGGTTTTGTCTCTGAAGGTGAAAAACAAAAGGCTGAGTAGATAGTTGCCTCTAAGTGATCAATCTCAAGCCAGCTTTGTCAGAAATCCTAAATCACAGGAGAAGGGTGGGAAGAAAGGATATGATTATTTCTCGTTCCATTTTCCATTAGAGGTGAGAATGGCAAGTACCTCTCTTGTAACTCCTCTTGAGGGCATGAGGAGGATTAGCAAAAGGAGAAGGGCTGGGAGCCCTGAAGTCTCCTGTAAGACCTCACTCATATCTCACAGGCAAGAACTAAGAATTGAATTAAATATTTCAGTGGGCTAGCTCTAAACCAGGATTAGCAAGCATAGCTAGGGTGCGAAATCCTGGAATCTGACTGGGACTCTGGCAGTGAAAGCTGGGATTGTTGAAAACCCAATTTAGGGAAGAGCCTCCGGCAGCAGCAGCTCCAGTGGCCAAGGTAAGATGGGTCAAAGTCAGAGTGGTGGCCATGGTCCTGGAGGTGGCAAGAAGGATGACAAGGACAAGAAAAAGAAATATGAACCTCCTGTACCAACTAGAGTGGGGAAAAAGAAGAAGAAAACAAAGGGACCAGATGCTGCCAGCAAATTGCCACTAGTGACACCTCACACTCAGTGCCGGTTAAAATTACTGAAATGAGAGAGAATTAAAGACTACCTTCTCACGGAGGAAGAATTCATTAGAAATCAGGAACAAATGAAACCATTAGAAGAAAAGCAAGAGGAGGAAAGATCAAAAGTGGATGATCTGAGGGGCATCCCGATGTCAGTAGGAACCTTGGAAGAGACCCTCGATGACAATCATGCCATTGTGTCTACATCTGTGGGCTCAGAACACTACGTCAGCATTCTGTCATTTGTAGACAAGGATCTGCTGGAACCTGGCTGCTCAGTCCTGCTCAACCACAAGGTGCATGCCATGATAGGGGTGCTGATGGATGACACGGATCCCCTGGTCACAGTGATGAAGGTGGAAAAGGCCCCCCAGGAGACCTATGCTGATATTGGGGGCCTGGACAACCAAATTCAGGAAATGAAGGAATCTGTGGAGGTTCCTCTCACCCACCCTGAATATTATGAAGAGATGGGTATAAAGCCTCCCAAGGGGGTCATTCTCTAAGGTCCACCTGGCACAGGCAAAACCTTATTAGCCAAAGCAGTAGCAAACCAAACCCCAGCCACTTTCTTGAGAGTGGTTGGCTCTGAACTTATTCAGAAGTACCTAGGTGATGGGACCAAACTTGTACAGGAACTGTTTCGAGTTGCTGAAGAACATGCACCATCCATCGTGTTTATTGATGAAATTGACGCCATTGGGACAAAAAGATACGACTCAAATTCTGGTGGTGAGAGAGAAATTCAGCGAACAATGTTGGAACTGTTGAACCAACTGGATGGATTTGATTCCAGGGGAGATATGAAAGTTATCATGGCCACAAACCGAATAGAAACTTTGGATCCAGCACTTATCAGACCAGGCCGCATTGACAGGAAGATCGAGTTCCCCCTGCCTGATGAAAAGACTAAGAAGCGCATCTTTCAGATTCACACAAGCAGGATGACGCTGGCCGATGATGTAACCCTGGACGACTTGATCATGGCTAAAGATGACCTCTCTGGTGCTGACATCAAGGCAATCTGTACAGAAGCTGGTCTGATGGCCTTAAGAGAACGTAGAATGAAAGTAACACATGAAGACTTCAAAAAATCTGAAGAAAATGTTCTTTATAAGAAACAGGAAGGCACCCCTGAGGGGCTCTATCTCTAGTGAACAACAGCTGCCATCAGGAAAATGGGAGATTTCTCCATCCCTGAAAGGGATGAGGTTGGGGTAACGGAATCCCTGTTCCCATTGGTTTTTATTAGCAAAACACCCTGTGTCTTTTGGAGTACGATGTGTAAGTGCCCATTGGGTGGCCTTCGTCTGTCAGTCACTGTGCAGCAGTCTGCTTCTCAATAAAGCATGCTCTTTCACAAAAAAGAAAAAAGAAAACCCAATTTAAGTGTTCGCTACTCAAGCTGAGAATGCAGGGCCAGGATAACTAGATCCCAGGACAGGCAGTTTGGCAGTGAGAACAAAAGGAAGAGACTGGGACCAGGGTGCCTAGATGCCTCGAGAGAAAAGGGTGAGTATTGGCAGGAAAAATGAGGACTAGGGGAACCCAGGAGCCTGGGTTCTGAAATAGCAGCAAGTCAGAATTCCAGGATCTCTGTCCACTCTTCTCTTCCTCTTCCCTCTATCAGGCAGAAGAGAGGGAAGGAAGGGGCTGGAAAAGTAGCCACATGGATACATTCAGGGCCAGACAGACATAGGAATGGTGGGGGAGAGAGGAATTTAGTGCTGCATTGGCCCTGGTGGGGGTTGGGAAGGGTCAGGAGGCTGGGGAGGGGTGGTGGGGGTCGGTCCCAGCGATGCACGACGCCGTCCTTTGCGGTGGCCATGTACACAGTGTGTATGACCACAGCCCTCTTTTTCCTCCTCATCACTTTCTGTGGAGCTCTCACCAAAGGCCCGAGATTTCTTATAAATACAGCAGCATTTTGATGAGCGGCGGCCCATGTGTTCATTGTCCACAGTGTCACTTGTCCATTCCACCTTTTTCTCTGGCTTCTGTTTCCGAAGTTTGATGGTAAGGCTCCAGTTTTTCTTCTTTTTTCCCCCTCCTCCTGGGCCTCCGCTTCTCCACCCCTCGGGATAACCTGGCCAACTCCACTTCCAGCTCTCTCCTGTGTGCATTTTTATATGGAAGTTTGTTCAGCCTCTCGATAGCTTGAAAGGTGAAGACAAACCTCATCCCTTTCTGTCTCCATCTTCATTCTTTTCTGTGTCTTGCCCAGTGTCTGGCAATTTTGCTGAATGGATGGCTTGTAAATTACTATAGGAAGGCATGATACGGCAATCTGGAAGCACACCTGAGTAAACTCTGCTAATGATTTTTAACATTCTCTGTTCAGTCTAGAGTGGGCTTTTGTGTAGGTGTGCATGTGAGTGAGAGTCTGTTTTGGAACTGGTATGCAGAAGCAACATCTTTTGTAAACTTGGAAGGTTAGAAAATTCATTTTTATGGCTGGGTGCAGTAGCTCATGCCTGTAACCTAGCACTTTGGGAGGCCAAGGTGGGTGGACTGCCTGAGGTTACGAGTTTGAGACCAGCCTGGTTAACATGATGAAACCTTATCTCTACTAAAAATACAAAAATTAGTGGAACGTGATAGTGCGTGCCTGTATCCCCAGCTACTTGGGAGGCTGAGGCAGGAGAAGTGCTTGAACTAGGAAGTCACAGGTTGCAGTGAGCTGAGATCGTGTCACTGCACTGCAGCCTGGTGATAGAGCAAGACTTCGTCTCAAAAAAAAAAGAAGTAGCTAGGTGTGGTGGTGGGCGCCTGTAATCCCAGCTACTTGGGAGTCTTAGACAGGAGAATCACTTAAACCAGGGAGGCGGGGGTTGCAGTGAGCCGAGATCACACCACTCCACTCCAGCCTGGGCGATAGAGCAAGACTCTGTCTCCAAAAAAAAAAAAAAAGAAAAAGAAAATTCATTTTTACTTGGAAGGGTTTTGAGGAGGTCAGCGGTACAATCAGGTCAGCAGTTCTCTGCCAGGAATAGGGAACTTAGCAATTGGAATGACTAGAGGCTCTTGTTTGTTCAGGGGTTCATGTGGAGATGAGGGAGTCTCCCTGAGAATGGTAGAAGGGAATGGGGAGTAACTGAAAGAGAAGAGTTCCTGCTGGGGGAACTGGATGTGGTATTTGGGAAAAATGATCTAAAGCACATAATAATTCAGTTCTGTGTACCCTACTGTCTTCTCTGCAGACACTGACCGAGCCATCATGGAGGTGGCTGAGATGGAAAGTCCTCTGAACCCCAGCTGTAAGATAATGACGTTCAGACCCTCCATGGAGGCATTCCGGGAGTTCAACAAATACCTTGCATACAGGGACTCTAAAGGAGCCCATCGAGCAGGTCTTGCAAAGGTGAATATCCTCAGATGCTTTAAATGAAACACAGTCACATGGGCTTTATATTCTTAGTTTTTATGATGTGGGACATTGTTTCCAAAGGAAGAAATTTACAAAATCTTTGTTCTTGTTAATCCATGTGGAACATTTGATTTCTTAAATAATAATTATCTTATTTTCCTTTTAACTATAACTGTTTATACTAGATTGTGTTCTAAGGCTTAAAAACAGTCAAAACCAACCAAGGGTGGCTCATAGAAGCCAAGGAGATCCAGGTATGGGTTTCAGAGGTGTGAGAGTATTCATAGATTTCATCAGTTTTTTTTGTAGACAATTATTAACCTGAAGCTTAACCACAATTTCTCTCTCCCTTCCTTCTTCTTTCCTTCTATGTTTTTTCTTTTCTTTTTTTATATAACAGTTATTGATATAATTTACCATATAATACACGCCATATACTGCATCCATTTAGAGTGTGCAATTCATTGGTTTTGAGTACATTCACAGAATTGTGCAACCATCACCTCTATTGAATTCCATAACATTTTTGTCATCCCTCCAAGTTCTATGCATTAAGCAGTCATTCCACATTCCCTGCTATCACCCCCAGCCCACAGGCAACCACAAACCGACTTATTCTCTCTCTACACTTGCCTATTCTCTTTTATTTCTGGTTGTTTACCAAATGTGGAGAGTGCCTGCTATGTGCCAGACACTGTGCCAGGTGCAAGGGATAGGGATGTGGGGGAGGAGAACAGGCAGTGTTCTTGCCCTCGTGGAGCTTACATTCTAGTGGGAGCATCTTAGGATGATGAGATAAGGACATTTAAGCACAGATTCAAAAGATAAAAAGAACCCAGCTTTTTCAAGATATGGGGACAGAAAGAATAGCAAGCCCAGAGGCCTGGAGGCTGACCTGAGTTTTGTGGGTGGGAGGAATAGGAAAGTGGTCAGTGGGCTTCTCCGGCCATCATACGACATTTGGGATTTTAAGTGTAGAGGGAAGAACTGACAGGCTTAAAGTGAGAGAGGAAGATGTGGTCGCTGTTTATTTCTTTTGCTATTTTTGTGACATTATTTTGAACAGATCACATTGGCTCCTAGGTGAAGAATGAATTTGGTGTTGTAGGGGGCAGAGCACAAGTAAAGCATCTTGTCTGGGATGGTTGTGTTTATCTAGTGAGGAGCTGATGGTGACCCAGACCAGTGAAGGTGGGTTAAGTTGTCTTTGGTCTGGATATGTTTGAAAATACTCATCTTTTTCTTATTCTTACAAGTGCCAGATAATATTCTTAAAAAAAAAATGATAGTGACTTAAGCACTTTGGGTATGAGTGACATGCCCCGAGTCATAGGGGTGGTCAGGGAGGTGCTGAGGACTGCATTGCACATTTGGGTGCATAGGTCCAAAGTAAGCCCTTTGAAAGAGAGATCCACTATATGACATAATTCATCATCCAACCTGAGATGGTTTGTGTGTCCCTTCTATAATGTAAATCTATTTTAATTTAAAAATTTCCCTTGGAAGAAGATATTTTATTGTACTTATTTCAATTTATTATTGTTCTAAATGTTAAATTTATAATCTGGGTTTCTGTAGACTTCTCAGTGTCACGGCATAAATCTCTGAGCCCTGCTGCTAGGCCAAACTACTGTACTACACTTGTGTAAAGGATTCTCCTTGAAATCCCCAGCTATGGAGGTCAGATAGCATGGACAACACAAGGTAGTTGAGGAGAGAACTTCCAGAACTATTGGGATTGGTGTTCAACTCCTCCTGAAAATGGACCTGATGCTACTGTAACCCGCTACTTTACTGTTTCTGGCATCTGTACCCTGAGGCCTGTGAGTATGTTGTGTATTTTTTTTTTTTTTTTTTAAGATGGAGTCTCGCTCTGTCTCCTAGACTGGAGTACAGAGGCTCGATCTCAGCCCACTGAAACCTCTGCCTCCCAGTTTCTTTTCTTTTTAAAAAAAAAAATTTATTTAATTAATTTTTTTGAGACAGAGTCTTACTCTGTCGCCAGGCACCAGGCTGGAGTGCAGTGGCACAATTTTGGCTCACTGCAACCTCCGCCTCCCGGGTTCAAGCAATTCTCCTGCCTCTGCCTTCTGAGTAGCTGGGATGACAGGTGCACACCGCCACGCCCAGCTGATTTTTGTATTTTTAGTAGAGATGGAGTTTCACCATATTGGCCAGGCTGGTCGCAAACTCCTGACCTCAAGTGATCTGTCCGACTTGGCCTCCCAAAGTGCTGGGATTATAGGTGTGAGCCACCATGCCAAGCTATGTATCTTGTTAAAGTTCATGTCCTTAGTAGACAGTTTTTTGTTTTTCATTTTTTTAAGAGATGGGGTCTGGCTATGTTGCCCATGCTGGAGTACAGTGGCTATTCATGGGCACTATCCCACTACTGATCAGCACGGGAGTTTTGACCTGCTTCATTTCCGACCTGGGCTGGTTCACCCCTCTTTAGGCAACCTGGTGGTCCCCCTCTCCCCGGAGATCACCATATTGATGCCGAACTTAGTGCAGACACCTGATCAGCATAGTGCATTACAGCCCAGAACTCCTGGACTCAAGCGATCCTCCAGCCTCAGCCTCCCAAGTAGCTGGGACTACAGGCATGTGCCACTGCGCCTGGATTGTTTTTCTGTTTTTTGAGACAGGGTCTCACTTTGTTACCCAAGCTGGAGTGCAGTGGTGTGATATCGGCTCACTGCAGCCTTGACCTCCTAGGTTCAAGCGATCCTTCTTCCTCAGTCCTGCAAGTAGCTGGGATTACAGTTGTGCACCACCATGCCGGGCTAATTTTTGTATTTTTTGTAGAGTCAAAGTTTCACCATGTTGCTAAGGCTGGTCTTGAACACCTGGACTCAATGGTCTGCCTGCCTTTGGCCTCCCAAAGTGCTGGGTTTATAGGCATGGGCTCCTGGCTCTATCCTAGAAATGTTTTAAAATTTGTGAATATTTAGTTGAGTGAAAATTAATTAGGGGTGGGTGAGAGAGAGCGGAAACAAGATAGAGAGAAAACAAAGGGAAACTAAAGCTGTTTAATGACTTTCTTTAACTTCTTTATTAGGTTAGCTCATTTTAAAAAAAATCTCATTTGGGCCAGGTGCGGTGCTGACACCTATAATCCCAGCAGTTTGGGAGGCAGAAGTGGGCAGATCACTTGAAGTCAGGAGTTAGAAGCCAGCCTAGCCAGTATGGTAAAACCCTCTGTCTACCAAAAGTAGAATTTTTAGCCAGACACGGTGGCAGGCACCTGTAGTGCCATCTACTCGGGAGGCTGAACCAGGAGAATTGCTTAAACCAGGAGGCAGAGGGCAGAGGTGGGGGATGACTATCTCTTCTCTGGGCTCTGAATGCAGCCCTTTGTCCTGGTCTCTCCCACTTTTGTTTCTTGAAAACATGTACTGTGTTCCGCTGAGATTAGTAGAGTGTCCTGTGGTAGGGTGGCACGTTTAGTAACTTTAGAAGAGGAAACAGCAGCTACTGTCAAAAGGGAGCTGCATGCCTACAGAGCATACCTGCGCCCTGTCTGCATTATGTAACAGAGTAAAGTTAATGAGAACTATGGTTACAAAACATACTCGAGTCCAGACCACGCCTCATTTTTAAAATTGAGACTCATTGACAAAGTTGGAAATATTCATTTATTTACTCCTTTAATAATTCCCTATTACTCATTATTAGGAATACAACAAACTGTTTCAAATCATTTTTGCCATCTTTGATGTCAAGTCACATAAGCTCAATTTTACCTACTTTCCCTCTTGTTCTGGAAATTGCAATAGTAGCAAATGTATAAAACTGTACCAAATCAAATCATATTGTAAAAATCAAGACTGCATTAATGAAACTGGTTTGCTTTGGGGGCTAGTCCTGGGGAACCGAGCCACCCATGATGTTCTTTGTTAATGCACTATTTTTTTTTTTTTCGGCAGGGTCTTGGGAGTGGTATGATCATGACTCACTGTAGTCTTGACCTTCCAGGTTCAAGCAGTCCTCCCACCTCAACCTCCCAAAAAGGTGGGACTACCTTTGCCTGGCTAATTTTTTTATTTTTTATAGAGATGGGATCTGCTGTGTTACCCAGACTGGTCTTGAACTTCTGGGCTCAAATGATCCTCCCACCTTGGCCTCCCAAAGTGCTGGGATTACAAGCATGAGCCACTGTGCCTGGCCTGTTAATCCACTATTGACAACATTTAATGAATTGGTCTTAATTTATGATTTGAAGAAATTGGTCCAGTAGTTCCAATAGTAGTGACTTTAGCCTCAGATGACAGCCTTTCTTGGTTTTTCTTTTCTTTTCTTTTTTTTTTTTTTTGAGAGAGTGTCGTTCTGTCGCCAGGTGCCAGGATGGAGTGCAGTAGCACAATCTCGGCTCACTGCAATCTCTGCCTCCCGGGTTCAAGCAATTCTCCTGCCTCAGCCTCCCGGGTAGCTGGGATTGGTTTTTCTTTTCTCCATTTCTTAGATTCATGCTTTAGATTTAACATTTACTTTTAGAGTAGAAGGCTGGACACTGTGACTGTCTATAAAGCTGATACTCCAAGTTGGGAAAGTGAAAAGTGGCAGTCTCTTTCAATGTAAAACTTGTACTGTTTTTGTGGAAGGATATTATGATGAACCTTTTTTATATATGAAGTGGGTGAAATTTGTCCCCAACAGAAATCTGAACGTAGGTTGTAGTGGACCATAGGTTATACACTCAATGAGTTTCATAAACAGCTTATAGAGTGCAAATTACCTTTGCCCGCAAGGTAAAGAAAGATTGTAAGAAGCACCACTGTCTTCCTCCTCCTTCCTCACTAGGTAGATGGTAAAATGGCAGTTTATTTCAAAGTAAGTAGTGCAAATGCAGATTTTAGCAAAAAATTTCCCACACAGAATAGGGGCCACGCTGGTTTGCGGGGATGGTTATAAAAAAATGTATACTCTGTTTTGATATAATCAAGAAGGCGAACTTTAGGAGGAATGGCTTTCCCTCATTTAGATTCACTAAACGTAAAGATTTAACTTTGGAATCTTTTGAACACCTCAGTATGTTGTGTTTTCCTATTCAAGAAAATCTGATGTTTTAGGATTTCAAGCTATAGTTCAAAAATAAGATTTTTGTTATAGAGCTGAACTTCTGAAAAAATATTCCATTCGAACTCTTTAATTGAAATTAAATGAACTTGTACACAGAAAACACAAGGTAATATTTGGAGTTTTTTAAGTTTATTGTATGCCTTGCTTCTCTGTCTTTAGAAAATTGTGACAAAATTTTTTATGAGCAAGTAACTTCCTTGTTTTTTTTTTAAAAAAGATAGACATTTAATTCTAGACATAATATTAATTTTGTTCTGGATACCTTTATTGCTAATGAAGTGCCTGAATAAATCTATGTTCTATATTTTTTATTCTAGCTTATTTCTTTATTTTTTTAAACTTTTTTCTTTTCTTATTTTATTTTCCCTTACTTTTCTCTTACTTCCAACTTAGATATTCTGGCTTATTTCTGATGAAAAAAGTTTTTATGACATCCTCAAATACAGTGCCCCTCCACTTTCAATATGTTATCAAGGAAATGTAAGGTTATTCATATTTATATAGCATGATTGTCCATATTCTTTTTTTTTTTTTTTTTTTTTTTTAATAAAAGATGGGGTTTCACCATGATGGCCAGGCTGGTCTTGAATTCCTGACCTCACGTGATCCACCCACCTCGGCCTCCCAAAGTGCTAAGATTACAGGTGTGAGCCACCGCGGCCAGCGATTTTCCATATTCTTTTCAAATATTGAGTGTGGCCGGGCATGATGGTGCACACCTGTAATTCCAGCATGTTAGGAGGCCAAGGAGGGAGGATTGCTTGAGCCCATGAGTTTGAGACTAGCCCTGGCAACAGAGCAAGACCACATCTTTACAAAAAATAAAAAAGGACTAAACACAATGACTCACGTCTATAATTCCAGTACTTTGGAAGGCCAAGGTAGGATTACTTGAGGCCAGTGGGTCCTTTGGTGTTTGCCTTGTAATAATTCACAGAGCTGTATGCTTATGATTACGCATTTTTTACATGTGTGCTATATTTTTCAATAAAACCTTAAAAAGGTTGTTTTAAAAAAACTAAAACAATTTCTAAAGGTGGTAAAGTGGACAGGTGCAGTGGCTCATGCCTGTAATTCACTGTGGGAGGCCAAGACAGGGGAATCACTTGAGCTCAGGAGTTTGAGATCAATCTGAGCAACATGGCGAAACCCTGTCTCTACCAAAAATAAAAGAAAAAAGAAAACTTCTAGCCACAACTCATGAATTACTTCATGACTTTGTACATTCTAATTTTATTTTATTTATTTATTTTGATATGGAGTCTTGCTCTGTTGCCAGGCTGGAGTGCAATGGCGTGACCTCTGCTAACTGGAACCTCTGCCTCCCAGGTTCAAGTGATTCTCCTGCCTCAGCCTCCCAAGGAGCTGGGACTACAGGTGCATGCCATCATGCCTGGTTAATTTTTTGTATTTTTAGTAGAGATGGAGGTCTTACAATGTTAGCGAGGATGGTCTTGATCTCCTGACCTCGTGATCCACCCACCTTGGCCTCCCAAAGTGTTGAAATTACAGGTGTGAGCCACTGTGCCCGGCCTATTTTATTTTATTTATTTATTTTTGAGATGGAATCTAACTCTGTCACCCAGGCTGGAGTGCGGTGGCATGATCTTAGCTCACTGCAGCCTTTACCTCCTGGGTTCAAAGCGATTCTCCTGCCTGAGCCTCCTGAGTACCTGGGATTATAGGTGCGGGCCACTACACCCGGCTAATTTTAATATTTTTAGTTGAGATGGGGTTTCACCATACTGGCCAGGTGCTCTAGAACTCCTGCCTCAAGTGATTCACCCATCTTGACCTCTCAAAATGCTAAGATTATAGGTGTGAGCCACCATGCTGGCCAGTACCTTCTAATTTTAAATCCTATCAATATGTATTTCGAGTCTTAATGTTTCTAGATCTTTTTTTTCTTAGTAATTAAGTGCTTAAATAGTACAGGTTAACAGTGATGTGCTGAGACACCTTATACTGGCATTTGAGAGTTAATAGTGTACATCTCGGTTGGGTGCAGTGGTTCATGTCTGTAATCCCGGCACTATGGGAGGCTGAGGTGGGAGGATCACTTGAGGTTAGGAGTTTGAGACCAGCCTGGACAGCATGGTGAAACTACATCTCTACTAAAAATAGAAAAATATTAGCTGGGCGTGATGGTGCATGCCTGTGTCCCAGCTACCTGGAAGGCTGAGGCAGGTGAATGGCTTTAACTTGGGAGGCGGAGGTTGCAGTGAACCGAGATTGTTATTGCACTCCAGCCTGGGCAACAGAGCAAGACTCAATCTCACAAAAAGAAAAAAAAAAATAATGGATGTCTCTTTCCAGCTCTATATATAGTGATGTCACATTGGTAGGTTCAGATTGGCCGTGGTGGGAGTGGTTATACCATGGAAATAGGCAAAAGCTGCAAATCACGGTTTCCTCCACCTTTCTGGAAAGCTGGTTATTAAACATCTACTAGCATACTACTGTTCAATTGCCATAATGTGTTAGAAGTCTATAAAGAATATAATGTCAACTATATATTTACTTGTTTTTCTCATAATATAAAAGCACATAGTTACATACTTAGATCCTGTTCAATAAAGATGAACTTAGGGGAAGAAATTATTTATGTAGACATAATTTCATCTGTTGAGAGGCAGGTTAACATAATGGCTCAGTGTGAATTGAAACTGTTAGAGTTAGAATTTCAGCTCAAGTAGTCTTCAGTCATTTTAACTTCAGGTCATTTTACTTCTGTGTGTCTTTCAATTTTATCTTTAAAATCAAGATGTTAATAGTACCTACTCAAAATGCGTTAATATAAGTACAGTGTTTGGGATAGTGAATACTTAATACATTCTGGTGTTGAATAACGTCATATTGCTCTTTTGCAAATAACCTTTTTTTTTTTTTTACACATTTGTCATAGACTGGGAAATTCTTCAGCTGTATTTTATCAGAATACTAGCTAAATTACTTGGAATATTTTCAAGATGATACTTTATTTCATTATTTTATTTTTAGGTGATTCCTCCTAAGGAGTGGAAGCCAAGACAGTGCTATGATGACATTGATAATTTGCTCATTCCAGCACCAATTCAACAGATGGTCACAGGGCAGTCAGAACTGTTCACTCAGTACAACATCCAGAAAAAAGCGATGACCGTGAAGGAGTTCAGGCAGCTGGCCAACAGTGGCAAGTGAGTAGAATCAGTTTGCTATTTCTGTTTCCTTCAAATATTTATGTAAATACGTTAAGAAACAAAGTAGACAGAGCTGTTTATAATGAAAAGCAGGAGTCTCCCATGTAGGGTCTTTCAACCTTCATTTAACCATTTCTGTCTTCCGTTCTTTAGGTGGTTGCCTGAACATTTAGCTTAGTGTTAAAGAAATTGAGACAAGAGAATCACTTGAACCCGAGAGGCAGAGGTTGCAGTGAGCTGAGATCACATCACTGCACTCCAGCCTGGGCAACAGAGCGAAACATCATCTAAAAAAAAAAAAAATTATTGGCCGGACGTAGTGGCTCATGCCTGTAATCCAAGCACTTTGGAGGCCAACGCAGACAGATCACCTGAGGTCGGGAGTTAAGACCCGCCTGACCAACATGGTGAAACCCCGTCTTTAAAAAAAAAAAAAAAAAAAAAAAAAAACTTAAAAATTTAAAAAGAAATTGCCCTTCATTTTATTATCTCATTTATAGTGGCTATAAATGGAACTTCTTACCTTATAGTTGCCATGAGTTTTTGATTCTACACGATTCATATTTGTTGGGTAATTTTTTTGGTGCGTGTTTGGCAACATTTAATCCTTAAATGATTTTAGAAGATTAGCACTTTTAAAAGAAAACCTTGAATGACTTGAAAGGCCACCATTGCATTAGTTATTTATTTCTGCATAACAAATCATCCCAAATCTTAGCTGCTTAAACCAACCCATAATTTCTGAAGGTCAGGAATCTGAGAGTGGCTTAGCTAGGTGGTTCTGCCTCAGGGTCTTGTGAGGTTGCCATTAGGTTGTTGGCTGGGCTACAGTCATCTGAGCATTTAACTGCAGCTAGAAGATTCTCTTACAAGAGTCCTCCCCTTACATGGCTTTTGATGAGGTCTTCAGTTCCTTGTCATATGGACTGCTTCTCATGTCATGGCAGCTGGCTTCTCCCAGAGCAAGTGATCCGAGAGAGATAGCAAGAAGGAAACCACATGTCTTTTCATGACCTGTTTCAGAAGTGACACACTGTTGCACTTGCCGTGTTCTTTTTTGTTACAAGCCAGTTGTTAAGTGTAGCCTACAGTCAAGGGGAGGAGAATCAAGCTCTACTTCTTGAAGGGACGAGTGTCAATGAGTTTTTAGGTATATTTAAACATTGTCACAATTATTATTATTAAAGTTCTTTTAAAAAATTCTGATATGATAATTAAGGCCCCAGATCAAAACATAAATCTGACAAAAACAAAATAAAACAAAATCTGAGACCAACCAAAAAAACATAGTTTCCAAATTCCCTGGATGGGTGTAAATGAGATTAAGATTTTGGATGAATTTAGGTATCTTTCTTTAAAAAAATTGTATTTCATATTGTAAGCACATGATACTACTTGAGGACTTCTGTGTGTTACATTCCTTCTGTGGAACATTCTGGCTATTCCAAAGAAATTGAAAATTTTATGTTTAATATAATTTGAACCCTTTCTTTTGAATTTTTTGGGTGGGCATTAATAGAGTCTTACTCTTTCAGATCTTATTAATGGAGAAATGAAACTTTTTTTTTTTTTTGAGATGGTGTCTCACTCAATCGCTCAGGCTGGAGTACAGTGGTGAGATCTTGGCTCACCGCAACCTCCACCTCCTGACTTTAAGTGATTCTCCTGCTTCAGCCTCCCGACTAGCTGGGTGGGACTACAGGGGCATGCCACAACACCCAGATAATTTTTTGTATTTTTAGTAGAGACAGAGTTTTACCATGTTGGCCAGAATGGTCTTGATCTTTTGACCTTGTGATCTGCCTGCCTCGGCCTCTCAGAGTGCTGGGATTACAGGTGTCAGCCATTGCAACTGGCCAAGTTGTTTGGTATTTTGAATATAGTTATATTATTTGGTCTTGTTACACAGATAACTAGTTTGGGGTCCCTGGTATAGTGAGTATAGATGTTGGTTGTTCTATAATTAGTCAATCTAAAATGTCCAGTATACTTTATAGGGATTCTACTACTGCTAAATACCTTTTTAACTTCATTATTTTCTCCTTTGCTTCTTTCTTTGCTTGTTTTTCCTGAAGAAACATTGGCATTCCTTTTTTGTGGTAAGATTATTGTTCAAATTCCTAATAATACAGAGAAGTAAATGCTTTTCTGTAATTTCTATGTGAGAGATAACCATTAATATTAATAATTTGTTGTGCATTTCTTTCTGTTGACTTAATATACAATTATATTTTTTTCTTTTTTTTTTATGTAATGAGGATATAGTATACACACTGTTCTGTAAACTGCTTTATTCACTGTGGATGGAATTTGATGTCAGTATTTTAAAAGATCTATCTTGTTTCATATACTGTATCTTTTTTTAGCTAATCACTAGTTGATAGATGTTGACTTGTGTTTTCAATTAATGGTGCAGCAAATATCTTGAGTCGACTGCCACTGTACACATACCTGTGTTAGGGTAAATTTCTATGGTTAGATTTTGGGTCACATATATCGATTTTTAAAAGCTTTTTACACATGTTGAAAAATTATATGCTGGAATGGTTGTACCAGCATATATTCCCACTAAGTTGTCTAAGAGGTGTCATCATTTTCCTGCCATTAACATATTCAGCATTTGCCAATCTAATAGCTGCAGAATATCTTCTTTTAACTTTCCTTTCTTGGATTTTTAGCAAGATTATTGTTCGTCATTGTTTCTCTAGGTGTTATGTCATTTTTATATAAACATGTAAAATTTCTTAGCATAGTGTAGTTGATTAAAGATTAAAAAAATACTTTGAAAGCTAAAATAATTACTTTTGAACTACTTTTCTGCTTTTATTGTTCATGTTTTCATGAAAGTATTTTTCTTTTTTTTTTTTTTTTCTTTTTTTTTTTTTTTTTTTGAAACAGTCTTGTTCTGTCACCAGGCTGGAGTGAAGTGGTGCAATCTGGACTCACTGCAACCTCTTCCTCCTGGGTTCAAGTGATTCTCGTGCCTCAGCCTCCTGTGTAGCTGGGGCTATAGGCATGCGCCACCATGCCCAGCTAATTTTTTGTTGTTGTTGTTATTTTTAGTAGAGATGGGGTTTCACCAAGTTGGCCAGGATGGTCTCAATCTCCTGACCTCATGATCCACCCTCCTCGCTTTCCCAAAGTGCTAGGATTATAGGCGTGAACCACCACGCCCGGCCTTATGGAAGTATTTTTCTAATAAAATATAAAATGATACTGAGTTATTTAGCAACCTTAAGAATATTCAGATAGCTATGTAAATCCATTTGTATGTTTACTTGTTAAATTTGACAACATGCAGTATTTTCATTTTGGTATGATTTTAAGTTTAAGAAAGTAATGTAGATCAATTTTGTGGGAAAAACCCTAAAACCGACTTACTGGTTTGTGCTTTTATTTATCTACCTTTTACAGATACTGTACTCCAAGATACTTGGATTACAAAGATTTGGAACACAAGTACTGGAAGAACTTACCTTTCGTGGCCCCCATCTATGGTGCAGATATTAACGGGAGCATATGTGATGAGGTACATTCGTATTTACAATGAGTTTTGTAAACGATCACTGAATGTAACAGTTTTGTTACCATTTAAGCAGGTTAGAAGTGGTCCTTTTTTGGGCTTTTGGGTGATCCATAACTTTTCAAAGGACAGCAGGAAATACTCATCCGTAGGATTTCTGCTGCTGGTATTTTTCAAACTGAAGCTAGGTAATTTTACAAATACCTGAAATTGTTCAGATGTAACGTGATATGTGGCTATCTGACCGACCTTTTCACCACATTACTTTTTAAAGCAAAAATACATTATAAAAATGTTGGAAAACAGGAAATATGATCCACCATACTGACACCTTAAAGCAGAAGCAGCATTTTAGATATATTTTTTCAGTACTTTCCCTCAATTATGAAAAAAAAATTATATTTGAACAGGCTTATATTATCCTTTTTTTCCACAAATTTTAATAATTTTCTTTTTTTAAAAAAAAAGTACATGTTGCCGGGCACAGTGGCACATGCCTGTAGTCCCAGCTACTTGGGAGGCTCAGGTGGGAGGACCGCTTGAACCCAGGAGTTCTGGGCTGTAGTGCGCTATGCCCCCACTAAGTTTGACATCAATATGGTGACCTCCCGGGAGCGGGGGGCCACCAGATTGCCTAAGGAGGTGCGAACTGCCCAGGTTGGAAATGGAGCAGGTCAAAACTCCCGTGTTGATCAGTAGTGGGATCGCGCCTGTGAGTAGCCACTGCACTTCAGCCTGGGCAACATAGCAAGACTCCGTCTCTTAAAAAAAATAAATGTACATGTTGCTGGGTGTGGTGGCTCGCACCTGTAACCCTAGCACTTTGGGAGGCCAAGGTGGGTGGATCACAAGGTCAGGAGTTTGAGACCAGCCTGGCCAATATGGGGAACCCCCCGTCTCTACTAAAAATACAAAAATTAGTCAGGTGTGGTGGCGTGCACCTGTAGTCCCAGCTACTCGGGAGGCTGAGGCAGACGTATCGCTTGAACCTGGGAGGTAGAGGTTGCAGTGAGCCACGATTTCTCCACTACACTTCAGCCTGGGCAACAGAGCAAGACTCTGTCTTTAAAAAAAAAAAAAAGGTTACATGTTGCTGGGTGTGGTGGCTCAGGCCTGTAATCCCAGCACTTTGGGAGGCTGAGGTGGGTGGGTCACCTGAGGTTAGAAGTTCGTACCTGCCTGGCCAACATGGTAAAACCTGATCTCTACTAAAAATAACAAAAATTAGCCAGGCATGGTGGCAAGTGCCTGTAATCCCAGCTACTTGGGAGGCTGACGCAGGAGTATCACTTCAGGAAGTGGAGGTTACAGTGAGCCGAGATCATGCCACTGCACTCCAGCCTGGATGACAGAGTGAGACTCCGTCTCAAAAAGAGTACATGTGATTATAGTCTTTCTAGCCATTTTTCATGGGAAATTAATTCACTGGTTATGATCCAATTCTTTTTGCCTTTTCCTGATATTTTAAAACCATAATTCTAAAAATTCTTTGTCTTTTGAAAACTTCTGTGCCTTCTCCCATTATTATTTTTTAAATTTATTTTATTATTTTTTGAAATTTTTATTGAGATGGGGTCTTACTATGTTGCCCGGGGTGGTCTTGAACTCCTGAGCTCAAGTGATCTAATTGCCTCGGCCTCCTAAAATGCTGGGATTAGAGGTGTGAGCCACCAGGCCTGGCCCATAATTTCCTTTAGAAAAATTTCTTATCTACTGAAAGGTGAAACTAGTGCAATACACACCTGGATACCCTTTACTTAGGTTCACCAGTACAGGGTAAGTATCCCTAATCCAGAAATCTAAAATCCAAAATGCACCAATGAGCATTTCGTTTGAGTGTGATGTTGAAACTCAGAAACTTGGATTTTGGAGCAGTTTGGATTTTTCAGATTAGGAATGCACAACCTGTAAGTATAATGCAGTTACTCCAAAATGAGAAAAAAATCTACCTCTGAGATACTTCTGGGCCCAAGCATTAGATACTCAACCTGTAGTTAATATTTTGCCATGTTTGCTTTATGTTTCTTTGTCTCTCTTTGTCTCTGTTTCTGTCCCCATCTCTTTCTCTCTGCTGTAACATTTGATATATGATGCAGACATCATGACAGTTCACCATGAATTATATAAGCTTATATCTTTTAATTACAAGGGAGTTTAACATTTATATAATGTTATCTAATATACAGACCATATTCAAATTTTCCCAGTTATGTTATAACTCCCCCATCTCCTGCCTTGAAGGATTCAGTCAAGGATTCCCCTTTGTAACTAATAAGTGTTTTATGGGGTGATACTTAAATACTAGGCGACTCTCTGTCCCCAGCAGCCTTTCATTCAGTGGATTTGGCATCCATCGATAATTCTTGCCTAAATCCCATTTTTATTTTAAAACCTTTTTTATTTTGAAATATAAAAAAAGCTGGAAAGTGCATAGAACATAAACTTAGAGCTTTACGAATGATAATAAAATGAACACCTGTGTACCATTTCTGACACCGAGGAGAACATTACCCGCACTGTAGAACTTCCCCTTTTCCTCCAAAGGTAACCAAATATTCTGACTTTAAGGGACTTATTTCCTTCTTTTCTTTAACAGTACAGCAAAGAATTGTCATTAATCATAGTCATGGCTGTGTCATTCTGTTGAATGGATATGCTATATAATTTATTTGCTCAGTTGTTAATAGTTATTTTGGTTGTTTCTAGTTTTGGCTTTTATGCACAAAACTTCTGTGAATGTTCTTCACATGTTTCCCTGGGCATAGGAGCATGCATTTTTCTTGGGCATATACATGGAAACAGTCATAGAGTATATATACATGGTTAGATTTAGAAGAAAACTTTTTTTCCAGCTTACACTTCCTATAGCAATATATTCAAGTTTCCATTGCTCCACATCCTCCTTAACACTCACTATTGTTAATTTCTTTCATTTTCCCTATTCTGTTGGTGTGTGTAGTCGCATCTTTTGGTTTTAAGTTGTATTATGATTTTTTTCCCTTATGTTCACTGACTGTTTGTATTTCCCCTTTAAGTGAAGTGCCTGTTCAGGCCTCTTATACGTTTTTCTTTTTTTCATGCTTTTCGTTTTCTTTGGCTTAAATTCCTTTTTCTGTGGTTTTAGTGATTCTTAGTGGTTTATACTTTATATATCCTTCATACGAGGTAGTAGCACAGGTTCAGATTTTATGTATGAATTTTTAATTGCTGAGCACTGTTATTTCAAAGACCATTTTTATTTTTGAAGGCATTATACGATATTGTGGAATTAAGTTGTTGTGTTGGAGGGAATGATGGCTATATAATTTTCTTATCTATTAAAGATGCATATTGAAGGATATATGGTTGAAATAACACGAGGACTCAGATTTATTTTATTTATTTATTTTTGAGACTGAGTCTTGCTCTGTCGCCGAGGCTGGAGTGCAGTGGCACATTCTTGGCTCACTGCAACCTCCATCTCCTGGGGTCAAGCTGTTCTTGCCTCAGCCTCCTGAGTAACTGGGATTACAGGTGCCTGCTACCATGCCCAGCTAAATTTTTTGTATTTTTGATAGAGACGAGGTTTCACCGTATTGGCCAGGCTGGTCTTGAACTCCTGACCTTGTGATCCACCCACCTCTGCCTCTCAAGTGCTGGGATTACAGGTGTCAGTCACTGTGCCTTGCCATGTTTTTCAGTTACTTAAGGAAATAAAGCAGGATGGATATAGATGAAAGAAGATGGGCTACACACACCCCACACACACACTTTTTTTTTTTTTTTGAGACAGTTTTTCTCTGTCACCCAGGTTGGCATGCAATGGCTCACTGCAGCCTTGACCTCCTGGGCTCAAACAGTCTTCCTGAATCAGCCTTCTGTGTAGTTGGGACTACCTGCAAGCGCCACCATACCCTAGCTAATTAAAATTATTTTTTCTGTAGAGACAGGGTCTTATGTTGCCCAGGCCAATCTCAAACTCCTGGGAGCAAGCGATCTTCCCTCCTCAGCCTCCCAAAGTGTTGGGATTACAGATGTGAGCCACTGCACCCAGCCCAGCAAAATATTTATAATTGAAGCTAGATGACAGACTGGTGTTTTAAATACGCATATGTTTGAAATATTAAAAATAAAAGTTAAAGGAAAAATAGCCTTTCTCCTTTCTGCATCTGAATTCTTATTAGTATAAGTAATCTCTTATGTTGAGAATGTATTGTTTATTAAAGTAGTATATGTACATGTAGGAAAATTGAAAAATACAGAAAAACATAAAGAAGAGAATAAATAATTGCTCATAAGGTTACCAAACAGGAATAACCTTTTTATGATTTCCTTTTGTTCTTTCTGTTTTATGTGAGTGTGTGTATATATGCATGCCTGTGTTTGTTCATGTTTACCACCAAAGAGTTAGGAAGGTTTTTGCATTTGTTTTGAAGTGTTTCTAATATTGCTTTCCAGAAGGATCATTTCAATTTCTTTTAGCATAAGCCACATCTAGTCTACCAGTTTCAAATCGTACCTTGTATTAAATGGTTGCTAGATTTTTTGTTTGTTTGTTTCAGTTTCAAGTGTATTCTTTGCTGATTTATTTTTTAGTGATAATAAATCTCTTATGAACTAAAGATAAGTTTAGCTGTTGTGGGCAGGTCATTAGATTTTGCCCATAGGCAAGGCCAAGTTATGCACATGTGTGATAAAGATGAGGGCTCAGATGGAGGCCAAGAGCAGCTTCTAGTGGTTAGAGCAGTTGTCTGGGAAGGGTGTGGCAGCAAGTAGAACATGTGGGAAATTGATGGTGAAGGATGTGGGCAGAGATGGGAGTGGGCATATTGGAAACATTTGTGTGGGTCTGTTAACTATAGGCTTCCTTGAAGAATGTGGCATCTTGCCTTGTTAAACCAGCTTCTGTGCGATTTCCACTGGAATGGGTGAGGCTGCCTAAGTACTGTTGGCCTTTTGCACTTAACAAAACAGGGGTCCAGAGTGGGTCAGGTGCTTTTCAAAGAAAGTTGGGAGGCTAGGAAAAGGGCCATTGCATTCTCTTATCCCCCACACCAGTGTTAAAGAAGTCATTATGCATAATCAGTCTCATAGTTGTGGAAATATGTAAAACT